TGCAGGTCCTCCCGTGCCTCAGGTGTATCTTTTGTCTTCCCATACACGCCCAAGAAGCCTAGCAGGTTCACGCAAAGGTTCTTCGTCACGTGCATCACGTCGATTGAAGAGCGGACCTCTAGGTCTTTCCAGTAGGGTAGGTTCCAAAATATAGATTTCTTCTTCCACATGGGTGCGTGTTCCTCAGCGTCATTCGGAACAGCTAGTCCGCCGGGACCCTTTCCAAAGATTACGTGTAAATCATTGACCATAGCAAGTACGTGATCACTGGTACGCATGGCGGGCTTCTTCCGGTGATCTGCCTCGCTTTTGAAATGCTTGCCTTTCTTTCGACATTGATAGTTGGTCGAAAGAAATCGACGATGGCCCAGGTACACATTCTTCCTGCATTTGTCTAGTTATATACTTTCAGTGTCATCTAAACAGTGCGTGCATGCGTGGTATCCTTTGTTTGTCTGTCCTGAAAGGTTACTGAGAGCGGGCCAATCGTTGATGGTCACGAACAGCAATGCCTTTAGGTTAAATCCCTCCTGTTTGTGCTCATCCCATGTAAGTACACCGTTTCCATTCCACAGCTGTAAAAGTTCTTCAACTAATGGCCTTAGGTACACATCAATGTCATTGTCGGGTTGCTTAGGGCCTTGGATGAGAACTGGCATCATAATGAACTTCCGCTTCATGCACATCCAAGGAGGAAGGTTATACATGCATAGAGTCACAGGCCAGGTGCTGTGATTGCTGCTCTGCTCCCCGAAAGGATTAATGCCATCCACGCTTAAAGCAAACCATACATTCCTTGGGTCCTTTGCAAACTCATCCCAGTACTTTCTCTCGATTTTTCTCCACTACGACCCGTCAGCGGGTGCTCTCAACTTCCCGTCTTTCTTCCGGTCCTCACTGTGCCATCGCATCAACTTGGCATGCTCTTCGTTTCTGAATAGACGTTTCAACCGTGGTATTATAGGAGCGTACCACATCACCTTCGCAGGAACCCTCTTCCTGGGGGGCTCACCGTCAACATCACTAGGGTCATCTCGTCTGATCTTATACCGCAATGCACCGCATATCGGGCATGCGTTCAGATCCTTGTATGCACCGCGGTAGAGGATGCAGTCATTAGGGCATGCATGTATCTTCTCCACCTCCAATCCTAGAGGGCATACGACCTTCTTTGCTGCGTATGTACTGTCGGGCAATTCGTTATCCTTTGGAAGCTTCTTCTTCAATATTTTCAGTAGCTTCTCAAATCCTTTGTCAGCCACAGCATTCTCTGCCTTCCACTGCAGCAATTCCAGTACGGTACCGAGCTTTGTGTTGCCATCTTCGCAATTGGGGTACAACCCTTTTTTGTGATCCTCTAACATGCGATCGAACTTCAGCTTCTCCTTTTGACTTTCGCATTGTGTCCTTGCATCGACAATGACCTGGCGGAGATCATCATCATCGGGCACATCATTTGGTTCCTCTTGATCTTCAGCAGCTTCACCCATTGCAGCATCATTGGGCACATCGTCTGGTTCCTCTTGATCTTCACCAGCTCCCCCCGTTGCAGCATCACCGTATTCAGGGGCACATAGTTGTCATCGTACTCTTCTTCTTTGCCGTCCTCCATCATAACCCCTATTTCTCCGTGCCTCGTTCAAACATTATAGTGTGGCATGAAACCCTTGTAAAGTAGGTGGGAGTGAAGGATTTTCCGGTTAGAGTAAGGCCTCATATTCCCACATTCAGTGCATGGACAACACATAAAACCATTCTGCTTGTTTGCCTCAGCCGCATCGAGAAACTCATGCACGCCATTAATGTACTCGAAGGTGTGTCTGTCACCATACATCCACTGCCGGTTCATCTGCGTGCATTATATACAATTAAGTGTCCAAATTAATAGAAGTTCATCATCACATTAAAACCAAAGTACATACATAGTTCTCATCTATCAACATATAGCTCTCCAGAGCATCTAATTAATTAAACCATACATTGAAACTATGTAAAACATTTCAATGCGAAAACAAATGCGATCATAATCTCAACCAAGGTAACAATTGATCCAACGGCATAATGATACCAAGCCTCGGTATGAATGGCATATTTTCTAATCTTCAAGCGCATTGCATCCATCTTGATCTTGTGATCATCGACGACATCCGCAACATGCAACTCCAATATCATCTTCTCCTCCTCAATTTTTTTTATTTTTTCCTTCCACAAATTGTTTTCTTCTTCAACTAAATTTAACCTCTCGGCAATAGGGTCGGTTGGAATTTCCGATTCACATACATCCTACATAAATAAAATCTATGTCACGTTTGTCGGCATAATTTTCATAAAAAATAAATGAACCAATAGTTATAAAGATAATACATATACCACATCCGAATCATAGACAGGACGAGGGCCGACGGGGGCGGATACCAAAACCATCGCACTATATAAGATGCAATAATAAAAGTAAGAAAATAATAGAAGTATATATGTAAACATACAAGTAAGAATATTTTTCCTTTCAGAAAGAATATAAGAACAAGAGGCTCACCATGGTGGTGCCGGCGATGAGCTCGGCGCGGGTGAACGACGGCGGTGAAGACGGGGATGGGGCATGACGGACCGCTAAACCTAGACAACTATTGAGGAAAATGGAGCTTGGAGGTCGAGCTGGGAGAGGAGAAAGCTTAAGTAGTGTGGCTCGGGCATTCCATCGAACACATTGTGTGCATAGGAGGTGAGCTAGAGTCCCCTGGGCTCATGAACCAATTCATATTTTGTTTTTGCATTGTAGCTAATGTAATATGAATAGATCTGTGGACCTCCTAGCGACGACTACAAGTGCTGGAGCGAGCCGAAGGCGTGCCGCTGTCATTGCCCCTCCCTCGCTGGAGCCAGTCAAACCTTATTGTAGTAGACAGTCGGGAATTCATCATGCTAAAGCCCCATAGAATTAGCGCACCAGAGCAGCAACCATCACTGATGAAGAAAGTCGTAGATCGGAAGGATCAAACCTGTAAACACCACAAACAAGAATGAAGACTGGATCCAAACAGATGCACCAAGGACCAGGACCAACCGAATCCCATGAGATCCGACAGAGACACACCTCCACACTCCCTCTAATGATGCTAGACGCACCATCGGGACAGGGATAGAATGTGGGAGACATTATTTCTAATGAGGGGCATCGCTGCTGATACGTCTCTGTCGTATATATAATTTTTGATTGTTCATGCCAATATTCTACAACTTTTACATATTTTTGGCAACTTATTATACTATTTATGGGACTAACATATTGATCCAGAGCTCAGTGCTAGTTCCTGTTTGTTGCTTGTTTTTCGTTTCGCAGAAAATCCATATCAAACAGAGTCCAAACGGGATAAAAACTTACGGAGATTTTTTTTGAATATATGTGAATTTTGGGAAGTGGAATCAACGCGAGATGATGCCCGAGGGACCCACGAGGGTGAGGGGCGCGTCCTGGGCCCTCGTGGCCACTTTGTAAGGCGGTTGGTGCCCTTCTTTCGCCGCAAGAAAGCCAATATCTGGATCAAAATCGTGTCAAAATTTCAGCCCAATCGGAGTTATGGATCTCCCGGAATTTAAGAAACGGTGAAAGGGCAAAATCAGGGAGCTTGGAAACAGAAGGAAACAGAGAAAGAGAGAGATCCAATCTTGGAGGGGCTCTCGCCCCTCCGCCGCCATGGACGCCATGGACCAGAGCGGAAACCATTCTCCCATCTAGGGGGAAGGTCAAGGAAGAAGAAGAAGAAGACGAAAAAGAAGGGGGGCTCTCTCCCCCTCTCTCCAAGTGGTGCTGGAACACCGCCGGGGCAATCATCGCGACAACGGTCTACACCAACAACTTCACCGCCGTCATCACCAACTCTTCCCCCCTCTATGCAGCGGTGTAACCCCTCTTTTACCCGTTGTAATCTCTACTTAAACATGGTTCTCAATGTTATATATTATTTCTGGGAAGTGCCTAATTAGTATAGGTATAGATAGATAGATAGATGCATGCATGCATGGTTATTTGACCGTAAGATAAAATTGTAATCATGCATGCAAGTAGCATAAACGGACACAGATGTAATTAGTCCAGGCATTCAGTGGTGGTGTAGGATTAATTACCTTGACAAGATGATCCTTGGTGTCGGCATGAACGTGGTTTGGATTTTTGCCATCTACTAGTACAATACCCTCCAACTCCAAATTCAACTACCGAAACTTCCAGGTTGCTGCCTCCCCTGCTCTAATATCAACTATTCAAGCCTGGAGCTAGATGTGTTCATCAGTGGATGCTAGCATGCATGTGTTTTAGAACTATTGACCCAACGTGGATGCGGTCACGATTAGAAGTCAGTCATCTTGTTTACTTTTACCTGCACCAATTAAGGCACTAATTATTCTAAGCCTCCACCTACAGTTGAGACATGACTTCGTCAACAACTCCACCAACACCCCCCACATGCATGGCCAGAAGCACCACTATAAATATCCATTGATATTTCGCTTAGAACTCATCTCATCTTGCAAGAGTACACACTTCCATAAAACACACACAAAGGTAGGCACAAAGCTAGTAGCCCTCAGCTATGTTGTCCTCTTGAGCATTGGACTGGACAATGCTGCAAGGGTGGTTAGATTCGGCAGTGGAAGCACCACGGGAACGGGAGCAGGAGGAGGAGAGGGTGGGGTAACAGTGAGTGGTGGTGGCTCGGGTGCTGGGAGTGGAACTGGGTCTGGCGTGAGTTCTAGTAGTGGTAGCCATGCAAGCGGTGGAGGTGGAGGTGGCGGGTCCGGCTCTGGCTCTGGTTCCGGTCAATATAGTCAAGGATCTTCATATCCTTATGGTGGTGGCTATGGTGGATATACTTGCACTGGTGGTGCCGGTGGTGGCGGTGGTGGAGGGAAAGCTAGTGGTTATCAAGGATCTAGTGGATATGGGGCTGGTAGTGGCACTGGTTCTAGCTCAGCTACAGCTACTAACAATTGGTATAGACAAGGTAGTACAAATGCAGATGCTGGTGGAAACGGTGGTGGCAATGGAGGAGGAAGAAATGGTGGGAGTGGTGCAGGCAAAGGTGCTGGATCTGGGTATGGCAATGCCAACCCCTAGTCCCCTTCATGTGAGGAATCTAAAAAAATGGAGCCCAACCTACTGTACTGCGTCAAATTGATAGCTTTGACTCTTTTTTCATTTATTTGTTATCATCTTACATATTATCAAATAAGGGCTTCATTGTTCTAGTGGAAAATGTACTAGTGTTCATGATATATTCCAAAAATGTTAATTGTCAATGTATCACTATTTACATGTATTAAGTTATATACCATCGTTTTGGCCAACCGACTTGCAATGGAAACTCTTTGCGTGTCTTATGGTTATGTAACATAAGTTGATCGCTTATGGTTAAGTACCAAAAATTATCATTTCAATGATACATGTCGTTTCACGAATGGCGTCACTCATGTAACACATGTCTCACATACACCACTTTAGTTTTGTGTGATTTTCTCTCACTGGGTAGTGCTTCTAGGGAGTTCCAAGGCTACAACCCCCATCGTGAGACCACACCCCAATATCCTTCACATCCTCGGTCACCGACACATTGCTTTGAGAGAGTGGTGATCATCACAAGCCGTACTAGGTCACACCTATCATGACTTTGTGCCATGAAGTCACGAATGGTGGGAAGGTGCATGGTCTAATTTTCTTTTATTCATATTTTTATTGCACTTTTAGTTTTTGCATGATCCACTTGTTAGATTAGAAAGTTAGCTTTACAACTTTGGCTCACTTATATCGATCACGATGGCGGAAATTGTTATTCCAATGTTGTGCTTTCAATTTTTTTAATGTTGACATATCTTTTAAAGTTATGGTTGTCCAAAGTTCCTTTTTGGGGTCAAAGTCGTTACTTCTTTTTATTAAGTCATGTATTAATTTATTTATTTTAAAGCGTGCACGGTTTTTGACAGTTGTGGCTGTTCTTACACTTTCCAAATTTTGATTTCCACTCAAGATGCAAAGTCTGTTCTCCAGTCTCTAATGGTTTTTGTTGAAATGTCTAGGGGCTCGGAATAATTTTTCTACAAAACTATCTTTTTTGCCCAAACAGGGGGTTTCATTAATTGATAATAATGTATTTATAATCCTTCAGAAGGAGCTAAAAAATAGCAGACAGTGCATCTAGGATCCAGATGGATTTGTTTGCACTCGTAGTAGCTACATATGCGAGAGCATGAGCAACCTTATTTGCTACTCCCCCCGTCCCAAAATAAGTGTTTCAAGCTTAGTACAATTTTGTACTAAAGCCAGTACAAAGTCGAGACAATTATTTTGGGACGGAGTGAGTACCTGCCATCCTAGAAAACGATATCATCATCTAGACCTCCTTGTACTACTACATAGCAATGATGTGTTGTCTCCTCCATCCTTCAGGGTATTGATGAGTGACATGCTACCAGACTCAATGACCAAAGATATAGTAGCTTGTCCCTGGAAAAGCTTAATACCCTCCGTACGCCGACCCATCCACTTCCTTAGGAGCATGACACCACCCACTAGGTATCGAAGCCGCCATTAGCACTTGTCCCCTACAGTTCCTTGCAACTGCCCTGAAGGCTACAGAGCATGAGGACATGTCAAAGCTTGCATCAATACTTACTTTAGCCTAACCCGGTGGTGGGGGAGATCACCTGGCAGGTCCCTTCGGCGTTGTAGGCATCCATCATTTGATACACACACTCATCTAATTTTGTGGGTAAAGCTAGAAATGTCTATTTAAAGAAATATTTTTCTGGCATGAGAAATTTCTAGTCTATTCATACTCAATTATGTCAGTACAAAGAACACCAGGGATACTAAAAATTACAACTAGATCCGTGGACCACCTAGCGACGACTACAAGTGCTGGAGCGAGCCGAAGGCGTGCCGCCGTCATTGCCCCTCCCTCGCTGGAGCCAGTCAAACCTTATTGTAGTAGACAGTCGGGAATTCATCGTGCTAAAGCCCCATAGAATTAGCGCACCAGAGCAGCAACCATCACTGATGAAGAAAGTCGTAGATCGGAAGGATCAAACCTGTAAACACCACAAACACGAATGAAGACTGGATCCAAACAGATGCACCAAGGACCAGCACCGACCGAATCCCATGAGATCCGACAGAGACACACCTCCACACTCCCTCTAATGACGCTAGATGCACCATCGGGACAGGGATAGAACGTGGGAGACATTATTTCTAATGAGGGGCATCGCTGCTGATACGTCTCCGTCGTATCTATAATTTTTGATTGTTCATGCCAATATTCTACAACTTTTACATATTTTTGGCAACTTTTTATACTATTTGTGGGACTAACATATTGATCCAGTGCTCAGTGCCAATTCCTGTTTATTGCATGTTTTTCGTTTCATAGAAAATCCATATCAAACGGAGTCCAAACGGGATAAAAACTTACGGAGAATTTTTTTGGAACATATGTGAATTTTGGGAAGTGGAATCAACGCGAGATGATGCCCGAGGGACCCACGAGGGTGAGGGGCGCGTCCTTGGCCCTCGTGGCCACTTCATAAGGCGGTTGGTACCCTTCTTTCGCCGCAACAAAGCCAATATCTGGATAAATATTGTGTCAAAATTTCAGCCCTATCGGAGTTATGGATCTCCGGAAATTTAAAACACGGTGAAAGGGCAGAATCAGGGAGCGTAGAAACAGAAGGAAACAGAGAGAGAGAGAGAGAGAGAGAGAGAGAGAGAGAGGGAGGGAGGGAGATATCCAATCTTGGAGGGGCTCTGGACTAGAGCGGAAATCCTTCTCCCATCTAGGGGGAAGGTCAAGCAAGAAGAAGAAGAAGAAGAAGGGGGGCACTCTCCCCCTCTCTCCAAGTGGTGCTGGAACACCGCCGGGGCAATCATCGCGACAACGGTCTACACCAACAACTTCACCGCCGTCATCACCAACTCTTCCCCCCTCTATGCAGCGGTGTAACCCCTCTTTTACCCATTGTAATCTCTACTTAAACATGGTTCTCAATGCTATATATTATTTCCAAATGTTGTATGGCTATCCTGTGATGTTTGAGTAGACCCGTTTTGTCCTATGGGTTAATTGATGATCGTGATTGGTTTGAGTTGCATGTTTTATTATTGTTGTTATCCTATGGTGCTCTCCGTGTTGTGCAAGTGTGAGGGATCCCTGCTGTAGGGTTTGAAATATGTTCATGATTTGCTTATGGTGGGTGGCATGAGTGACAGAAGCATAAGCCCGAGTAAGTAGGTTGTTTGCGTATGGGAGTAAAGAGGACTTGATGCCTTATAATGCTATGATTGGGTTTTACCTTAATGATCTTTAATATGATCTAGAGTTCCAATCATAAGTGCATATGATCCAAGAAGAGAAAGTATGTTAGCTTATGCCTCTCCCTCAAATAAAATTGTAATAATGATTACCGGCCTAGTTATCGATTGTCTAGGGACAAATAACTTTCTCGTGACAAAAAGCTCTCGACTGAAACTAATTTAGTTGTGTATTTATCTAAACAGCCCCTAGCTTTTATTTACATGCTCTTTATTATCTTGCAAACCTAGCCTACAACACCTACAAAGTACTTGTAGTTTCATACTTGTTCTAGGTAAGGTGAACGTTAAGCGTGCGTAGAGTTGTATCGGTGGTCGATAGAACTTGAGGGAATATGTGTTCTACCTTTAGCTCCTCGTTGGGTTCGACACTCTTACTTATCAAGAGAGGCTGCAATTGATCCCCTATACTTGTGGGTTATCAAGACCTTTTTCTAGCGCCGTTGCCGGGGAGCAATAGCATGGGGTGAATATTCTCGTGTGTGCTTGTTTGCTTTATCACTAAGTGAATTTTATTTGATGTTCTAAGTTGTTCTCTATCTTTAGTTATGGATATGGAACACGAAATACCAAAAAAATAGGTTTACTTGCTACTCATGGAGATGGCGAACCTCCTAAAACCATCAGTGCTCATTATGTGAAAGAAATTATGCACTACTTTAATAATCTTGAGAAAACCCCATTCAATTATATAATGGGAGACGGTGGATCAACGTGAATACTTTAGGGATTATCGCTTGACTCGAAAAGGGAAACTTTTATGGGATCAAATTTATATGTTCCATTGGTATGCTTGGCAACTATGTTTGAGATATGATTATACTTGTTGCTCTAGGATGAAGGCTCCACACCTTCCCTTTTCATGCAAATTTAATGATAATGAAACCTTAGCTTCTTATGCTAATGGTATATATGATTACTATGATGTGGAACGAATAGAAGAATTTGTTGCTTTTAAGGGTGCTTGTGAAATTGAATCTTTGTTTAAAGAGTTTGAAGATTTTGATGATTCAGTGTATAGACCTGAAAATTTAGCTATCCTTAAATATTTCTATGATAATTATAATACAATTATGATATTGATGAATTTATTGAGAAAGTCTCCGTTGTCCGAGAAGAGACTAATATTTTGCAGGAGTCTATGAAAGAAGAAATTGACGAAACTGTGAGGTCATTGGATGAAAAAGATGACGAGGAGAGCGAAGAACAAAAGGAGGAAGATAGGATTAGCTACCCATGCCCACCTTCTATTGAGAGTAACTCTCCAACTCATACATTATTTAATGTCTCTTCATTCCTACCGAAGGGTGAATGCCATGATAATTGCTATGATCCCGTTGATTCGTTTGAAATATCCGTTTTTGATGAACTTGATGCTTGCTATTCTTGTGGTCAAGATGCCAATATGAATTATGCTTACGAGATGAACTTGCTATTGTTCCCTATGTTAAACATGAAATTGTTGCTATTGCACCCACACATGATAGTCCTATTATCTTTTTGAATTCTCCAAACTACACTATATCGGAGAAGTTTGCACTTATTAAGGATTATATTGATGGGTGGCCTTTTACCGTTGCACATGATAATTTTGATGAATATAATATGCATGTGCTTGCTGCTCCTACTTGCAATTATTATGAAAGAGGAACTACATCTCCGCCTCTCTATGTTTCCAACACGATAAAATTGCAAGAAACTTCTTATGCTATGCATTGGCCTTTACTTGATGTGCATGAATTGTTCTTGTATGA